CGAATCTCGAACCAGATGCTATCAACCATACCTTTGCACTCATGTAGATTCCCCTCAACTGGTACATGCTTTTCAAATAGCATGGTAGAAGAGCAGTGTGCCAATCATTGGCTATAAAAACAACATCTTCTCCTGAAGAAGATGATGAAGCACATTAGCCTAAACAATTTCATGAAACAATAGGTAAACCTCCATGGCTAAGACTGAAAACAAAAAAAGGTCTATATTCCATACGATATGGTCCTGTGAAATATTTGCTGCTATTCAAATTCAGTACCCTGGGTGCCAGCGGCAGCCTGCACATTTTTCAACAAATTAGTGGTTGCACAACAAGCAATAATCAATTACCCTTTAGGGCCATAACTAGGGTTGATTATCGAGTGAGTCGATCATGAGTTGAGCAGTGCTTGACTTGGCTCAAAAACTGTTCAATTCATGCTCGACTAGACTCGATACTCTATAAGTTCAATCAAATTACCACCATTCAATGGATCTAAAGGGAGAGAAGAGAAGAATTCCCTTTAATCACTAAGACCATTCAATAGGTTCATATATTAACACCATTCTTGGAAAAAAAAAGTTTAACAATATATAATCAATCTTAATAATAAGAAAATCAGCGTCCTAAAAAATTATTTAAAAAATTTAACGATCTGGTTGCGAACTTATTGTGTCGGACAAGACCTTGTTCGACTCGATTTGTTAAGGTCTCAAATAGAGACCGAATCGAATCAATTTGAGTCGTACGTTGATAGGATTTTGATAGAGTCGTGCTCGAGCTGTTCAACTCGGTCAGCACCACTAACTAAACCGAATTTTCTTATTTTACCTGGCATAACAAGCTGAACAGAAATCGATTGTCTTCGTAGTCCAAACCTGCCCTGGGGCCATAGATTTTGGATGCTGTTTTGCCCCATACCTGAAATCATCAAAATAGTGAAAACAAAATCAATGAAGAAATGATTACTTTAATCGTTTATACATGAACATGAACTCCATGACCTTCTCTAGGAACACTGGGTGATCGACAAAGACACGATCAACTCCACGTTTGTAGCAGTGGAAGAACCGAACAGTCTCAACTTTGTCCCCCACTTGTATCTGCATATAGGACCCGAACTTTAAGAATCTAACCCCAAACATAGCTCACTTCAATGGAGTTTGGAGTACCAGAAAAAAGTAAAAAAACAAGAAAAACTTTACTTCAATCACAACGCTTGTGTCCCATGCATCCTTGTACTGATCATAGCGAGGAGACACTGTCATAACTCGGTGTCCTTTGGCCTACTAAATGATGAACAAGCAATAGCCTTTTAGTTATTATATCATACACTTCGTAAGCAAAAACCAAACCAAAATCTCTACTTACGGCCATTGCTGGAGGAAGTCCACCGAAGAGATCACCGAGTCCACCGGTTTTGCTCCACGGGCTACACTCGACCGACACGAACACTATGTTCATCCCTATCCCGCAAATGATTTTTCCGGGATTCGCAGGTTTTACAGCTTTCGTAGCAGCGGCAACAGAGTTTCCATTGCTTCTCATCTGCAACGCATCTACCTGGTTCAAACACCTCAAACCACTGTGAACCATGGCTTGATTTCTGGGAACAAGCTTATTATTATGGCTAGCGAAACGTGATCTTGTTGAGACGAAGCAGGAGGAGGCTGTCACGGCCGCCGCCATTGTTGGGATAGCTTCAAGCAGTGGAAAAGCTGCCGAAACCAGAAAGATGAAACCAAACCAGTTACTAACTAAAAAAACAAACAAAAAGAAACCAAAGACTTCATGAATCTCTCAAAATCAGCCCAAGTTATTACCATTACTCGAAGGATCCCAGGTTGGTTCACTTACCGAGTGGCTTGGGTTATATCGGTAATGGAAGTTCACCTGCTAAAGGAAGGTTTGTTGGTACTATGAAAATGGAATTAATTGACGGTCCAGAATTACAACTAAAATTGACGGCCAGGAATTACCCACGGTGATGCAGTATTTTTGCTTTTTTATTTTTATTTTTTTAATATGAATTAGATTTATTTATGAGTTAGATTAGGTTATGTTGAATTATTGATGGTTACATTAATTGTGGTGTTTTAAACTTGTTATTTTAATTTGAAAAAAAAAATTATTTTAAGATATAAATGAAACGAGATAGATCGTAAGCTACTTAAGATCGATTCTGTCAAAGTTTGATAAATACTCGACTCGAGTTCTTAACGAGCCGAAACGAGCTACTTGATACTATACTTGAAAAGCTCGTGAGCAGCTAAAAAATATAATATATTAAGTTTTTATTTTTTTAAAAATAAATTATAGATAATATTAACATTTATGTGTTGATTTAAAAAAACAATTTAGTAAAAGATTTTAATGTATTTAAGGTTTATCTTCAAGTTTGAGTTTGAGGCTTCAATTGAATTAAATTAAGATTTTTTTTCTCATTTCGAGTTTTCTTTTAGCTTTTCCGAGCTCCTGCTCATGGTTTCGAGTTTGAATCAAACTTAAAAATTTTAGACCCACAATATTGTGAATCGGTTTGAACTCAATAATATTCGAACTCGACTCGTTTACAGTCTTAATCGTAGTTAATGGTGTTTAAAACTTTTGATGTTCGATTTATCTGAAAAGTATGTATGAGAATTAAAAAAAAAACTTTCTTTTTCATTATTGGTTGATGTATTGTAATTGCTACAATAACTATTATGATTTAAGTATAAAAAGAGGTATCGTTAACACTTATTTGAATATAAATAATAGTTTTTTTTTATTTTTTTAATTAATTTAAAATAATTATAAGTAATAATATATACTCTAAATATTTTTATTATTTAACAATTAATAGTCAAGTACCTTGACAATCATTGATACTTAAACTAAAAATCTTTAACGATAACAATCATCCATAATTAATAACCTAATTCGTGCAGTAATTTTAAATAATCCACATGCACTTTTATATAAAAATTAATTTAATTTAATCATAATTACAATTTAATTTAATTATATTTGTTGGTCAAATATTACAACCAAATAAGTTGATCCGGTATTTAGGTGTTAGGAAAATTCTACAACGTTCGACGAGTATTGATGATTATCGCTAACGATGATCACTATTAATTTAATTTATAAAACTTTAAAATTATACAGTAATTATAAATTAGTTAAAATATAAACGTAAATGATTTAAAATATTAATTATATTATTTTTTATGATCTTATTTTAAATAATAATTAGATCAAATATTAAATTAAAAACCCTAAATTCTTTTTTTTTTGCTTTGATGCGACAGCGACAGAAGCAGTGATGGCGGTAGCGACAACGACAATAGTAGCGGTGATGATGATAACGACAATAGCAACAACAGTAGCGACGGTAATAACATCGATAGCAGCAATGACAACAGTGGCTTCAAATCAAAAAAAAAGAATTTAGGGTTTTTACTTTAGGAATTAATATTTGATCTAATTATTATTACAAATAAAAATATAAAAAATAATATAATTTATATTTAATTTTAAATAATTTACGTTAAATTTTTAACTAATTTATAATTATACATTGAGTAATTTATAATTTTAAAATTTTAAAAAATAAATTAATAATGCTCATCATTAATGTTGTTCATCGGTGTTCGTCAAGCATAATATAATTATCCTTAGGTGTTAAGCCATTCAACTACTAGGCCCAGAATTAAATTTTATTGTTGATATTGTATTACAACTTACATAGACATGTTATATTAATAGGAAACATTTATTTATTAATTAATTAATAATTTATTTAATTTGAGATTAAATTTTTATTTTGTTTTTCTAATATTTAAATTATTAATAGTTGCACTCAATTTGTTCAAAATTTAGGTACTAAACGGACCAAAATTGATAGCTTGCGTACTAAAAGCGTTAAGTTTTTAATAGTAGAGCACTAAAATGAAACAAAAACTAAATATTAGGTATAATTTTGAGGAAAAAAATAAAAGTTTAGATACTAAATGCATAGTTTACCTGAAAAAGAATAAGAGCCAAAGTAACTCTTTTAGTTTTATACAGATTTAAGATTGTTGAACGAGTGAAAAACTATAATTGAGATTAACAGTAGAAAATGAGAAAATATTCACTAAAAAAAATAAAATAATTAATCCCAAACATCTATTTTCAGTCATCCAACGATCATAAATCTATATAAAAATAAAAGAGGTTTACATTATATATATGTATATATATATATATATATATTAATGTTTTATTACTTTTTCTTATATTTAATAATTATATTTTTCATACGATTATATTAGTGTTCAAACATATTAGTATTAATTATAGTAATAGATTACTAAATCTATTGTAGTCTAGTGATTAGTATTAGGGATGCATGGGTCGGGCCTGTCGGATTTTCAGTCAATCCGATCCGACTAAAAATATTTATATCTTTCATCTAAAATTCGATTCGAGTTTAGGGGTGATTTCATCTGACTTGAACCGACACGATTTTATGAGATTACATCCAAACTCCACCCGAAATAAATATATTTATAAAAAAAATATTATTTTTATCCAATAAAAACATGGATCTAATTGAAATATAAATATATATATATATATATATATATATACAAGTTATTATTATAATTATCCTTAAATATATAAGATAAATTTATATTATTTTTCAGGTCGGGCCAGATATTTTTTTACTCCTGAACTCGACCCGAACATATTTTTCTAAAAAACTTGACCCGAATCGATCCGATTTTTTTAAAAATTTGACTCAATCTGATCGAGTTGAGTCGGATTCAGTTTTTTGCCCATGCCTAATTAGTATGGCCTTGCAAAGGCTTGAGAAAAAAGATGTCAGATTTAAAAACAGGTGTAGAGTAAAAGGGTTAAGTTGAAAATTTTATCGAATTCAAGGATTAAATGTTGCTTTATCTCAAAAATAAAAATAAAATAAATAAAGTGGTCTGGAAGGATAAATACCAGATTTTGAGGGGGGAGATATGAGATATAACCAAGAATCCATAGAAGGCAAAAGATGAAGGGCACAAAGGCATCCACTTAACCAACTAAAACCGAAAATGGCGCTACGAATCCACGCTCCATCTTCTTTAGCTACCGGATTTTACCACCGCAACTTCACCTTCCCAAAACCCAAATTTACCGTCAAATCGGAGAAACCAACCGTCGACGCCGAGCCCACTCCCGAGCCCAAAAAGCCCGCCGCGCCTGGCCGAGGGTTTGGCTCCTCGTCCTCCTCCTCACCCACTGGTAAGTCAACAGTAAGCAGCAGCAGCAGCGGCGGCAGAGAAAAGAAGCAGAAGGGGAAAAGAGAGAGGGCGTCTATAATACGGCGGTCGCCGGTTGAGACACCCGCGTTTGTGAGCAAAGAAGAGGAGGCAAAGGCGGAGGAATTGAGGAAAAACGAGAGTGCTTTTCTACTTGCTTGGTTGGGGCTTGGTGGGATCATTCTTGTGCAGGGCATTGTTCTTGCTGCTTCAGGTGATTCTACAAATCTGATTTTAGTACTTTCTGTTGAACGAATTTTTGGATATCAAGGAAGTTTAATGTTTAGTAATTTTGTTGAAAATTGCGAAGAATATTGTGGTAGAAAATTAGCTCATATGATATTGGATTATACCTTTGAAACTGCAGTATACCATGCTTAACTAGACCAATAGGTATCTAAAGTGGGTATGTATAAGGTATGGCAGTCTTAATATACGGTTAGGAAAGACGTTATCGGAAATGTTATTATATTTTAACATTTCTAGTAAAACGTTATTTAAAATATTATTTTTCTACTAGAAATGTTAATATTTTTTTTTTGATAATACAGAAATGTTAATATTGGGCGTTATGCCGCTACCTAAAACATTATTTTTCTATCGGAAATGTTAATATTGGACGCTACCTAAAATGTTATTTTTTCTACTAGTTTTTAAATAGCGTAATATTTTCGGTAGAAAAATAATGTTCTAGGTAGTGCTTTATCGTAAATGTTAAAAAAATAATAACATTTTCGATAATATTTTTCCTTTGCTATATATTAAGCTGTTGCACGACAAAACTACCCACCTAAAGTATTATGTCCGCCTAAAATAATATTTAGGGTAAATTATACGTTTAATACCTAAACTATCAATTTTGACCCGTTTTAATACCTAAACTTTCAATTTTTTCAAAATCATATCTAAAATTTAATTTTTATTCCATTTTAATACCCATGTTCAAACTTTAATCTTAAGTTTTGAAAGAATTGAAAGTTTAGATATTAAAACGGACCAAAATTGATAGTTTAAGTACTAAATGCGTTAAGTTTTTAACAATGGGTACTAAGATGAAACAAAAACTAAACATTAAGTATGATTTTAAAAAAAATTAAAAATTTAGATACTAAAATTGATCAATACTAATAGTTTAGGTGCTAAATACGTAGTTTATCCTATTCATTAATTAATGACACATGATAACTCTTTAGAACTCAAATGAAAAAGATTGAATATCTTAAGTATTTATTTTTACTAAAAAAATACTTTAGGTACCGATTTTGATCAAAAGGGTAACTTTAAGTACTTGTTTTACTTTACTTAAATGAAAAAATGATATCATTTAAATACTTATTTGTGATATAAGCCAAACAGAAAATACTAGTTTATTTAAGCCTTACATATCAGGTTCTTGATCTAATAAGCCTTAGCTCACGGTAGGGGTGTATTCGGTTCGGTTCGGTTCGGTTTTTTACCAAAAATTGAATCGAACCGAAATAAACGATTTTTTAAAATTTAAACAGAAATCGAATGGTTAAAAAATCGAAACCGGTTTTTTCGATTCGGTTCGGTTTGGATTTTTCGGTTCGGTTCGGTTTTTCGGTTTTTCAATGAAAAAATCACTTGAAACTATAAAAAATTTTAAAAAAATTGCCTATTCGGTTCAATATGGAACAAATGGGTTCCATATGGAAAACCCGAACCTAACCGAATCAAAATAATTGAGACTTTAAACCGAACCGAAAACCTAACCGAAAACCGAACCGTATAATGCCAAACCGAACCGTTTTACTCAGTTCGTGTCGATTTTTCGATTTTCTCGATTTCGTTGCTCAGCCCTAGCTCACGGTATCTAATTCAATATATATATATATAGATTCACACCATACAAGTCTGTTTAGGTTTTTCATACTTCAAAAGATTTATCAATTTGTATTTGCCTAGCTGGCTCAAGGTTATTATTTATATTTAAGGTAAATTATGCGTTTAGTATTTAAACTATCAGTTTTGATCCGTCTCAGTACTTAAATTTTTAATTTTTTTTCAAAATCATACCTAAAGTTCAGTTTTTGTTTCATTTTAGTATACTGTTTAAAATTTAACGATAAGTTTTGAAAGATATTAAAAGTTTAGATACTAAAACGTACCAAATCTGATAGTTTAAGTATTAAATGCATAGCTTACCCTTGTACTCATTAGAGCATTGGAGGCTCTATACCTCATAAATGCAAAGTGTTCTCATTTATGCGAAAATCGGAAACAACACCGAGGGACTGGTGGAGACAGTCACTCATTGAAATTTAAAATCATCATATATTTTAAATTTGTTCCATGTATTTTCTATTGAAAATTTATTTTCATCCCCTAAAATCCGTTCCTTCATAAAATTTTAGTAGTTCGCCCCTTAATATAAAATCTTGTGTCTGTCCATGTATAAAAATGGTTTTCCAAGTAACTTATTAGATGTTTTGTATTTACAGGCTTCCTACCAGAAGAATGGGATAAGTTCTTTGTGAAGTACTTGTACCCATCTTTCACCCCTACTGTTCTCTTGTTTCTTGCTGGAACTGTTGCATATGGAGTGTTGAAGTACCTGGAAAATGAGAAACTCAAGGACCAAAAGTAAATAGTTCATCCAAGTAATATGGGTAAATCACGTGTTTAGTACTTAAATTATCAGTGAATATCAAGTGAGCATTTGTACATTTCTGCAGGCTATACTTTCTGTTTTGTGCTTTCCTTGTTAAGAAAATTGTATGTACTGATAAATGCAGCTGAGGAATTTTCATGCAAGGAACATTAACCATCCTTATTAGTGTGCATCTTAATATTTGCAATCGTTACTGTCATTAACATCAGTTAATTGTTTGGCTTTGCATCATTTGTTTTACTAGGAGGAATGATGTCTGCTTCTTGCCCGTTGTAGGATATTTTGCAGTCAAGTTTAGCTAGTTGGTTACGACCGAAAATGTTACATCGTGGCGGGTTTTAACTTAAAAAGTTACACAACTGGTAATAATTTTGATTACAATCGAAAATGTTCTCGATGATAACTTTTTAGGTTGTAACCAGAATAGTTATGCAATTTACATGATTTGTTAGAGAGAAGTTAATGTTTTTTGTTTCGACTTAAAATGTTACCCATTTTACTCAATAGAGTTACGCATTTAGTAAATTTTTCGGTTACAATCAATTGCAGTTTTTTTAACCTTATATTAAACGGTTGTATTTTAGTCTCTCCCCTTCATTTCCTATTGACTGCTACCATTTTTTAGCTTGTCCTGTTCATCGATCTTAGAATAGAAGTGAGGCTCTATTCTTCTTTCCCCTTTTATTTGGTAGACTTTGTTGACTGATGATCATCAGGTTTGACACATAATTTTGCACTTGTATGTTGGGACCATGCAAAATTGATGGTCATTTTGTTTATTGTGGTTAGATATTAATTATAGGATAAATTACGTGTTTAGTACTTAAATTATCAATTTTGATCCCTTTAGTACATAAACTTTCAATTTTTTCAAAACCATACTTAAAGTTGGGTTTTTGTTTCATTTTAGACCCCGTTAAAAAGTTTAGTTTTTATTTTCTTTTAGTACCCCATTTAAAATTTAGTGTTAAGTTATGGAAAGAGAGAGAGAAAGTTTTAGTACTAAAACGGACTAAAGTTAATGGTTTAGGTACTAAATGTGTTACATTTTTTTAAAAATTTTATTTTATTTTTAAACAATGGACACAATGTTTTTAAGTGGTTCAACCACATTGCATACTCCAATGCCTTAACTTTCTCAACTAAGATTTTTTTTTTTAAATTCAATAATTTTATTTAAATCTTTGAGAAAAAAGTCTTACAACATTAAATGTTTGCAAATTTATATTAACACCCAACACCAAATATTTGAGAAAAAATCATAATAAATATTCACAAGTATTTTTAACTGATAGAATAAAACTGTTAAAGCCATAAAATCAACACATTTAAGATTCCTTGTAACACAAGTATCAAAAGGGTATTGTAACGTCCTCAAATTTTTGAATCGAAAAATTATTTGATTTCTGATAATCAAAATTTAAAAAATAATTATTATATTAATTTTAATTGTTTGAGATCAACTAGTTCTTGAATTATGATAAAATCGATAGTTAATATATTATATTATTAAGATAGAAACTTTTATTAATGTTGATAATATTTATTTATATTTATATATTTTTAAAAATTATTTAATTAAATTAATTAGATATATAATTTTTTTATTATATTGTTCATATCTTATGCAATGAATGAATTATTAAGATAAATAAATAAAGTTCCGTTTCTGCCCAAACCCCGGTCTATACCCCGACGAGAAAAAAAGAATAGGGTAAATTATATGTTTAGAACCTCAATTGTTACTTTTATTTTACTTTGATCATTTGACTATTTTTGTTTTCAAAATTATATACAATATTTTGTTTTGGTTTCATTTTGATCATCCATTCTTAATAAATTAACAAAACTATTAATGTGGCATCTTAATAAATCTAATGTGAATACAATGCAGTATGTGTTTAAAGCTTTCAACAATTTGACAATGAACACCCGTACTTCTGCATATACGATGCTCGAACCTAAAATCTCAAGAGATAACAACAAATCAATTAACCATTGATGTCGCTTGAGTGAACCAAAAAAATCAATGAAACCAAAAACAGTAAGTGACCAAAATGAAATAAAAATATAAAATTATATATAATTTTGAATTAAAAAATAGTTAAGTGATGAAATCATAATAAAAGTGAAAATTTATAAGTGTCAAAATCATCTGCAACGAAATATATTAATGCTGAATCGGAAAGATAATAGTAAATTCTAAAATTTAAGGATTCTATTAAATATATCTCTTGATAAAAAAAATAATAGTAAATTCCTTAATAAAAAAATATATAATTTTAACATATTTTAATCAACAAGTTAACGTTTAATATAGATAGCCGTTAATTTTTTAATGAAAAACGATGAGTTTAAAACATAATAATAGTCAGATGAGTATTTTATAACTTTTAATAATCACGAGACCTGACAAAATAGTTTCCTATAGTCAAACGATCATTTTATAATTTTTTAGTCAAATGGCTTAACAAAACGTCTTATAGTCAAAAGACCATTTGTGTACTTTATTCTTTTAAATAACTAATCATACTTTAAAAATTATTCTTTTAAATAACTAATCACACTTAAAAATGATGGCAACATGTAATTCTCGAGTAATCAAATTGTTAGTAAAAGATAACACATTTAATTTATAACAAGTCTATAATTTTTGCATCAATTTAACCCTCACAGTCTGCTTTGTCTAACAAAACCGTTAGTCTTCTGTTTTTGTCAACACCAATAATTTCCAGAATAACCAATATTATTGACGTGACTTAATGATATCGTGACATGTAATAAAAAAAATAAATAATAAAATATTTATTAAATAAAACAGTTAAAAAAATCTCTAAAAATTTTACCTAATCCCTTAATTTTATTGAAATAAATAATAAAAATTTTAATCCACAAACACAAAAAACTCACAATTTTGTTAGTCAAAACGGTCAATGAACTTCAAGGGTTATGATGAATATCCTAAATAACTTCGAGGGCTAAATTGATGGGGGGAAACTATATGAACGAAATCGATAAATTGAGTTTACTACAGAGACAAAAGTGACCCTTAACCCTTTTTTAATAGTACGGGTGATTATAACCTAACATACACCGTTGCTCGAACCAAAATCTCTAGGAAGATCAATATTCTCTTTTATCACTAAAACGAGTTGACATTGATGGGTTAATGAATCAATTGTAAGGGAGTAAAAATTGGTTGGTTTTGTTAGAAACCATCTCTTCTACAATGGAGAAATCATGCCTAGTTCCCAACTTTGCAATAAAACCCATTAAAATGAACAATTTATTGCATACACTACTGCCCATTAAAAGCTTAGAGTATGACTCACATTTCAAGATTCTCAATTTATCCTTACACAACACCACTTCTATATGTTTTTTTAGGAGCTAAGCATCCATCCATCCATCACCAAACACCAATCGCTTTACATATTACCCCAAATTTCAATCTTCACAAGATTGATAATTATTTTTCTATGACCAGAAAATGAAATTGCCCTTCAATGGTGGTATGCTCCATTAAACCTATGATAGCCCTGCATGCACCAATAATGCATGTTGATTACTCAAGTGTACAACTATGGAAGCTTCCCCCCCTTTTTTTCATATGCATCACTCAAAAGGTTTCATAATTTTAAACAACGTCGAGAGAGAGAGAGAGAGAGAGAGAGAACCTCATATCTCGCGGAACTTGTGTAGTTTGGAGCATAAGGGCGTGAATAAGCATACCCTACAGTGACACAATAAGTAAGCAGACAATGTCCACAATTAGCTACCAATCACAAGAATTCCAAATCCCACCAATAGAAAAGTAATGACAATCAGATATAGCAGTTTCTAATCCAATTAACGACGGGGATAATTTGCTTACCACGACCAAAAGGTTAACATAATTTATGAGTACTATCAATATCTTCATTCAGAAGAGAACATAAAATGATCCCAAAACTAAAACAAGCTGAAGCATTACCATAATCACTACGAATGTTCCCTTCTTCAGGAAAAATAAAATGTTAAACATCCAGCGTAAATATATTAGCAATAGATTGAGTCAACTTTAACGTAAGAACATATGAAACCTGAGACTTAAGATACGTGGTATAACACCACTTAACACTTTCCCTTATGTATAGTTCAAAGGACTTACAAATGAAAAAACCTCACTAAAAGGTCTTCAACCTCACACGGGGTTAGGCAGCCACAACAACACAAAACCTGGGACCTATAGGTTATATTGCCCACCATGCTTAAAAAATGCATCCACAAGAAAAAATTGATGTATATAGAAGGAAGTGGAAGGGGCATTCAAATTGAAAAGCCCATATCCAATTTGTTTTGCCTCATATCTACGTGCATAAATTACACATAAATAAATCAGGACTGGCGGGGGATGATCAATTGTGTGTTTTTGTGAACAAAAGTAGAGTTCCCAATCATTTTCACTCAAGTATATTAAACAAAAAGATTGAATACAAAGGGAAGGTAAATACGTTGAGTAATAAAGATGTCTAGATTGGTGATACTACCTGCTCCATGAATGGGCCCTTGATTATCTGGGCCACTATACTCGGCAATCCTGTGAACAAATTTATAAGCACGTGAAACAAAGAAATGAAGAATGAACTCCAAAATCAAATAAAGACATGTCAGATGCATAACAAGACCTTCTGGCTGGATAATCATAAGCAGAAAAGCTTTGCTTTCTGGAAGAAATCTCAAGAAATTCAGCATGAGGTAGGGCATCATTCCCCATAGCAGGTTTGAAGTACTTAACAGGAGGTTGCCTTTCATAGTGAGTATCTAGCTTACGATGGTCTGTGTAAGTTTGCCTTTGATGATGAAAAGGGGTGACATATTCTGCATGATATTGGTTGTTGTGATTCACAAGTGACGCGTATCCCACATGGGATTCCTGAATAGAACAATTTTAAGTGAACAAACACACGTGACATTACGAGATAAATGTGTGCAAATTAGCAAATTACCAAATCGGAAGATGGCCTTTTGGATCCAGAAATAGCACCATAACCTGATCCTGGATGTCCACTTGAGGATGCAGCGTATTCCTCTTTAAATGGTATTCTATATACAAAAGAATCTGCATCCCTT